GCCTACTCTGCATGAAGCTAAACGTTTGAAAGTGTATCTTGGATATCGTATCATATCATATCATATCGTCTCTCGTATCCCATCCTTATTCTCCCACGTGATCGGAACTCGGATACCGGACATCCCATTCCAAACACAAATTCTGTATTACAAGTTTACAAGCTTACAAGTTTACAAGTTTACAACCCCCTTTATTACTAATAGAACATGCTTAACATGCTTAACATGCGTAAACTGACGAGATTAGATACGTAGTAGTATGTAACGTTAAATAACTAAAGTCATAGTGTGTGAATATACTTTGCAGATGACATGAGAGAGCCATGCGTAGAGCATCTCTTCACGGGAAGCATTGGTCGATCGATCAATCGAGACGTTCTGGAGATGGAGATGGAGATGGAGATTGTGGTGCTAGAAATGAAATATAAGGTTGGTGCACCTTTGATATTGTGCTTGTGGGATTTAAAACTGTATGTATCATGTATGGTACATTTACGGTTTACGGGATTTATTTATTACGGAATTGGGTAAATGGTCGATTTGCATATTGGGAGATTATCAACTTATTACTCTGTACTTACTTGGGTGCTCACCTAGGTGCTTACTTTATCGGGGACCGCACTTCCCCATACATGCATATCGGACCCCCGCTTTTCGGTGTTGGGAACATGGAATGCTGGGGTTGTGGAAGAGTGGCTTGGTGATGGAATGAATGGAATGGAATGAATGGAATGAGTGGAATCAATAGACATGACATGGATAGATAGGGATGATGTGAAGCCGCCCCACGTTACACGTTACATACGAGCATGGAGATGGGAGGCTCGCGAGCATATCATGAGGTAGATGGATAGATGGGGATAGACAAGCTAGACAACAACATCACTAGATAGATAGACAACATACATACCAATACAGACAACTCGACAACTAAATAGATCACCTCCACAGACACCTCCACACCTCCACAACAAGCCAAGCATCCCAAACTCAACAAATACACCTCTGAGATCATCTTTGCAAAACTCATCAATTGAGAAACACACACACACGCACACAACAACACAACAACACAAAAACTACAATCGATGTACCGAGCATACTATGTGTCATTGCGATAGGTAGTGTACGACTGTAGTATACATGGAAGGATCCTTAGCATGGAAGAAAGTCTTAGGTAAATTTCAGCTGGGGATTAGCGTTGATGAGATGGGTACGGTACGTGATACCGAGTAAAGTAGATCGATCGCAAGACTTGAGTTTTTTTTCGGTTTTGCTTTTGGGTTTTTCTTTTGTTTTTCGCGTGCTGCTGGGTCTGTTAGTTGCATGAGTAGCTGGGTGGATGGATGGCGTAGATTGTATGGTATGGTATGGTTTGGTATGGTTTGGTTAAGCATGATGTGATGTGATATGATATGATATACTAGTATGAAGTATAGAACATGGAGCAGTCTGGAGTCTGGAGTAAGAAAACCCAGAGACACATGGATCCATATCTAAGATACATCGAGAAATTGCTACATGAAGTAAAAGTAAACACTAAATAAATAAATAACTATGTATCTACCTAGGCATGCAAATCAGGAAAGAGACATACACAACAAGGATACAAACCAACCCAAGTGTCAGTCAAAGCACAAGTTGACACCGGGAGAAACAAAAACGCAAAGGACGAAACAAAGTTTCAATTAACGGGGGCTGTTGTGGTATCAGGTGTCAGTCAGGTGTGAGAGATCTGAGGTCTTCGGTATGGAAATGGAAATGGAAACACACGCACGGCATCCGAGGAATGGATCGCGCTCACACTCACACTCGCACTCGCACTCGCACTCTCGGGCCTGGTTTGCGGAACGTCCGCTGACGGGCGGGATTGCATGCGGAGTGGGACGTTCATGGCTGTGAAAGTTTCGAGCGAGGGACTGTGCTGGGTTTGGTATTTCGCTGCGTTCTATTTTCATCTCGGGAGTTGGGGGTGGTGTATCGTACATATTTGGGTTGGATTGTGCAGTATGGATGTATGTATGTGTAGCCTTGGCTCTTGGTAATCATGGGAGGATTTTAGATAGGTACATAGTTATGTGTGTGCCGTCGGTAGGTAGGTATGTATAACTTATATGCAAGGGGTAAATATAGGGTAACTTCTTCCTTTAATTCGTAAATCGTATCGATTCTTTAATTCTACATTATATCTCTTGCATATTCTCAAAATTGTACCATATGAATCATCAATATTATTATTCCTACTAATAATCCTCTTCTTCCTCATAATATCGAAAACTCTAAAGAGAAATAAATTCCTTTCCTGTTTCGATACTCATAAACATACGATTAAAGATCTGGTACCTACCTAGGTAGGTATAGGATAGAATCCTAGCGATCGACGGTATGTGACAAGTCCACGGGTTGCTAAGTCAGTAGCGAGGATAGCTCCGAGCATTAGTCCCAGAATCCGATATACTTTCTCACTTGCGCCAACGATCGATCTTCACGAAAATTTTAAAATGTCGTCGCTCTGGGTCTCTGCTGTATGTAAATGGATGGGATGGGATGGGTGCACCATGATCTGCGACTATGACAGCGACTAGGTGTGCTCTCCTCGAATGATCGAGATGCGTTCTATTCATTCATTTCATTCATTTCAATAGCGATGGAACGTTGGGTTACGTTTACGTGAAATGCATGGTCTGGTCTGGTCTGGCGTTGTCTTGTTTGGCAGGAAAGAGTCTGGTGAGATAGATAGATAGATAGCTATTCTCTCCCGCCCGAGTCATATGAATTTTGACAAGTTCGTACGCGAAGTCTAGACGACGAGACAAGACTTGTAGCTTTTGGAACACGCTCTCTCTCTCACTCTCCCAGGTAAGATTTCAAACTTATCTGCCAATTCAAAGCTTAAGTTTGGGGGGGGGACAACCTCCAAGTTTGCGAATGGTGCTAGGAAGAATTGGGATATCGTGGGGACGGGATACATCTAATTATCCTTTTTCCATGAGAGAAAGATCTTAAATCTGGGATTGGAGGTTCCACTATTCATTCATACTATTGATGCTTATTTGAGACGAAATAAGAATAAATGGCTTCTCTTTTAGCTTTTTTTGGTTTTTAGAAAATGATGGTTTTATTTTATTTTATTTTATTTTGGAGGATTGATTGGATGTTGTTAATGATGTAAATGTTGATGTAGGTAGGCAGGTAGGTAGAGATAGGTGCCGCTTGCTAATTGTTAATCTCTGGCGATGTGATTGTACCTATGAGCCTATGAACGAATTATTTTCTGTTACCTACTTATTGCTATGATTACCTACCTTGCTGTTATCTTACCACCTTCCTTCCTTCCTTTCTTTCTTTCTCCCTCTCAAAATCCAATAATTCCCCATCCCCATTGCAATTGAATCCCGTCAAGCACACAATCCCACTTCACCTTATCTACTCAGTACATAACACCACCCCCAACACCAAAACCTCACCAAAAGATAATCATCAGACCCCTCGGACCGAAGAAAATCCAATCCCTCGCTTAATATCCAATTAGTTCATTCAAATCTCTCTGCACATTTAACCTCCTCCCAACGGGATAAGAATTCGTATCGAACATCCAATCAGATCCCTCACCTTCCCAGTCCCCTATCTTCCCCTCTCGTTCTTTCATCATCACCTCCATACCTAGCTTTTACACATTCAGCTATCGCACCATAGCTCGCTCCTAAGTGCGAGTATTGGTTGTCCCCTTATCTGCATCGTTGCATGTGTCGTCATCTCAAGGTTTGTACGAAGGATGTGGTGGTGCGGGGTCTTTCGATACCTAGGTAGGTAGGTAGGTAGGTAGGTGGGTAGTCACCTGTAATTTGTTTGGATGCTTGAGGATAGTTGCTCTGGGGAGTAGATAAACTTCGGGGTGTTGAATGGATCGTAGGGGATGATGGTCATCTGATTGATGATGAATAATGATGAGATAACTTTCGAGGCTGATTTGGTTATACAGTATGTCTGTGTGTATATCTGTATCCGAGAATATTTATGCAAGATATTATCTGCTACCCAGCGATTTCCCAGACATTTTGAGAGAAAGAGATAGTGAGTGAGATATCTATCCCATCACCCTCCATGACCGGACTCAAACAATATCAAAAATTATTTTGTAATTTCTCAGGATGAGATCGTAGAGAGGGGAAACAGCACGTTCGATTGCATAGTTCATTCGGGTATTGAAGAGTGCATAGAAATAAGTATTCATACCATCATACCGAGTTTCACAAATGGGAATCGTGAATTCATCACTCCGTGCTTTCTCATTTCTTATCATTTTGCACAATATCAAAAAGCCCTTCCTTTCATAAATCCTCCCAAGAGAATAATCTCACAGCTTGGAAGGAGAATGTGCTTGATATTCCTGGCTGTGGCGATCCTCAAGCAATATATCTACGAATGGGTTTCAACCATTTCTATTCCTTGTCTTTCGTACGTACGAGCCGGGGAAATTATGCAACCTCTTTAGATAAGAGAACACAAGTTTTGGGTCTCTAAATAATGGGTATGGGAATGGTCAGATTCGTGAGTATTTTAATCGATTGGTCGTTTGAAAAGTACAGTACAGTGCTACTCTTCGTATCGCGTCGAAGAATTGTTCTTACCAGGTAGGATCAATTCAACATTGTAGACTGCACGGTATTGATTGATCTTTCTCGATATCCCAAACAAAATCAAATCAATCACGAAGAGGGGAAGTTGAGCTCCCTTTCCAACAATTCCCACCATGAATGCATGAGATTGTTGTTTTCCATTAGGCTAGATATCCCGATGTTTTCCAAAACCCGCCAAATGTTGTCATCACACCTTGAACATCATCGACAATCAATCGCGTGAGATACATCATTAGGTTCGACATCCCAACATCATGCTACCCATGGGCATTATATCCTAAGTACCTGGGTCCCTAAGATACAAGTTTCACATGATATGTTCCCCTTGTTTTCCCTACATCTTAAAAGTCTTCCCGAACCTCATCGTCGAGACAACTCATCTAATTTCTCTTTCAACTCTCCAACTTCAGGACTAACACTCTCACTACTCTTCAATGTCATCACCGCTCCCTTCTGTGCAATCTCAATCAATCCATCTCCCAATTCACACCCTCTCGCCAACCCCGATATCAAGACACCCATAAATGTATCACCAACCCCATTAACACTAACCACATCACCCTCTTCAACCTTCTCTGCCGCTGGGAATAACCTCATGTATACACCACCCACTTCTTCATTTCCATTAGTACAACGCGATAGGATATATGGAGCATGATCCGGATCTCGAAGTCGTGGATCAGTAGGCGATAATATAGAAGTTAGTAAAACTCCTTGAGACCCAAGTTTAGTAAGAAGAGTTGGAATATAAGGAAGTAGTTGAACAGCTTTGACAGGAATTCCTTGGTCAGTGAGATCCTTGGATGTCATCTGTACGAAACGATCTCGAGCACCGGTGCTAGGAATACCAAGAGCATCGATTGTTTGCCACCATTCGTCAGTCTCGAATTTACCGTGGGTAGTGGCGGAATCGTGCATAGAAGTAAGTTCATGCTCATTAGGAGTTGCGAGATCCACAATATTGTTTGGGAAGACGGGAAGTTTATTGGCCCTGAGAGATGAGCTGATAGGGCGTTCAAAAAGACGTGCGGATTTGATGGTTGAGACGGGTTCATATGCAATCTTGATGGAAGATGAAGATGATTTCGTGGCGCTCAAGAACTCTTGAATGACTTCTGATTGCCAATTTGCGTCTATGATGACCCATTTTGTGGAAGATATAAGAGACTTTAGTTTGCTGTGAATGGTTCGAATGGATGAGTCATTGGATGGCCTAGCAAATATATCCATATCGGCCATGGCTATGACGAGATCTTTCTTTCCATCGTTAATGGCGACATACTGAGCTGTGCGGTAGTCAGTGCCTTTTGAACATATTGTGATATCATCGGTATTGATTCCATTGCTTTGTAGGCTTTGAAGTATCGATTTTCCAGCCCTAGAATTATCAGAATCGGTTGATGACACGCTTGTGGGTAACTCACTGGTCATCAGAAATAAAGGTATATAGACTGACTGGCTCCTTGCTACTAAGTTGAGCTGCACGTAAGACGTTATAACCAACACCACCTATCGATGAATGGATTTTCGCGATATTCGATGTATGCATCTGAGGAGAAGAAGCCCCTGTCGATTGCGTGGTACGAGGAGTATAGTCACAAGCGAGATCTATAGCTATTGAGCCTACAACGACTATGCTGGGCTACAGGCAATAAAGAATTAGAAAGCAGTAATATTCTAAAAAGTGGGTTCCTCAAAAAAACATTGTGGAAGGCAAGGAGGATTATTGCAAACCTTTGAAGTAGAGACACTGGAAGAGGACAGTTCTAAGCTAGGGTGATTGGGGTCTATCTTGTTTATATTCGCTGTAGAGGAAGGCCGTGTGAGGACTTTACTAGTGTTTTCCCTATGAATATCTATTGAGCCAATATCAAATGTTTGATCCCAGGCATCACTAACCCGCGTGTTCTTAACCTAGAAAGCTCAACTGCTACTTTTGTCGCTATTTTGACATTGGATTCTATCAATGCCCGATTTGCTGCAGTGCTATTACCCTTTGTAAGTTCTTTGATCCTTGCCAAAATGAAGGGAGTATTTGAGTGGCCATGGAAGCCCTGTTCGGCGGCTTCTTGGACTGCTTGATCGATTGCCTTGTCAATTTCAGATTTGGGAAGAGAGAATTCTTCAGGAATTGGATTTGCAAAATGAAAACCGCTAGCAGGTCTGAAAAAGTCCTGGGCATCTACTATTGTTAATCATCGCTTACTAAATGGAAATTGACGAGGAATAGAGTCAAAACTTACAGATAATGGCAGCAGCTTCTTCAGCATTTTGAACAACCATAGGACTTTTAACACCACTATCACGAGTGAAAAATGCCGGATAGTCGATCGGTCCAGTACGTCCATCTGCAAATGTGAAGACGCCGGCTCCTTGAGTCTCTAGATACTCCAATGTCCGAGGAATATCCAGAAAGCTTTTACAACCACTGCTGATCACGGCAACTGGGGTACGTCCAAGTTCAGTGAGGTCGGCAGAAATATCCATACTGTCCTGACCTCCACGATGAACGCCACCTAGACCGCCAGTTCCGAAGACACTAATTCCAGCTTTACGTGCTAGAATCATGGTACCAGCAATTGTAGTACCACCAGTAATCTTGCGTCCGGTGACCCCCTGATTACCGTTAGTTTATTGTCATTTTTACCCAGAAGAATATAGTATGTTAAAATGCACAGATCAGCACAGAAACTAACACTTACCAATCCCAAAATATAAGGTAAATCTCTACGAGAAACCTTCATAGTCTCCGGTTTACCAGCGGCAGATGCAATAGCAATCAATTCCTCCTTGTTTAATCCCACACGTGCAACACCGTCCAAAATTCCAATTGTTGCTGGAATTCCTCCATTAAGACGAACAACATCCTCTAAATCGAGGGCCAACTTGACATTATCAGGATATGAATATCCGTGAGTATAAATGGTGGTTTCCAAAGCTACAACTGGTTTCTCATACATCGTAGCCTCTCTCACTTCCTCAGATACCTTAAAGAGTCTACTCTCAGCACGTCCAAAGCCAGGCCTTTGAGATCTCTTTTGATAACTGCCACGCCCTTGATTAGAGGGGTTGCTGAAATGGCATTTGGATAATAAGGTGCTGGTTGACACCGAAGAGATTCGGATCCCACGTGTGGGCCGGAGTATGGAATTCATAATGTGAAGCACTTCAACATGTAACCGTGATGTAAGATGAGGAATTCAATGATGTACCAGTAAATGAGTCAATCATGAGAAGATTATATCTTCACGGCCGGCCATTTGTTGGACTTATAACATCCGAGTGTATTTACCAATGAGGTGTGGACAAGACAGTGAGTGGGGTGTGAATAGAAGCCTGTTAAGTTTATTGATAACCTTATTTTCACGTGATATATCTGTGACACATTGGAAGGTTCAGAAGGATTTTTGACAGATGAAGCGCCATCGAGTAGTAAACTCAAGCAATGCAATATATTTGATACAAGCCGAGTCTCAATCAAAATTTGATTGGACTTCTTCTTCGATATTTCGGAATCAGTTGACCGAACCAATCAATTTGTTGATTTGAACACTGTTATGCATAATTTATATTAATTCGTAAGGAATATTTAATTCAAGAGATTGGAACGGAAATTTGTCCCCTGGTCGTTATTTCGTATATTGTCATGCTGATATTACATGTAAAACCAACTGCCCATTCTTCCTTTGACATGATGTATCCATTGCTTCTTTGATTTTCTGTACATTGTATTGCTGAGTATCTTTTCGCCATGGCGGCATTACATTCCATCCTTCTTTTCATTTGTCTCTGCGTTCAAGGTATTTCCTCTCAAGAAATTGTCAATGGACAAATTTATACTCCCGGTATCGCGATAGTCGATGCGCCGCAACCAAATACACCACTTGGAGGGGGTAAGTTCTCATAAACACCTAACTTTGGATGTTGGATGTTTTCTAATCGTTTAGATTTCCTACAAGTTGCGCTAGATGTCTCCTCAGATGGACAGCTTCAACTTCCACCCTATCCGAAGAACGCTGTCTCGGAGATCTATAACATCACCATGTTTCTCTCCAGTTATACTACAGGCAAAAACTTCACAATCTCAAATGGAACCGCGACGGCAGGAAATGCGAGCTTAGGCGAAATCATGGCTCAAGAGTCAAGTAGCACAGTCAAACATGTAAACTGGGTTTGGCCTGACTGTCTTGTTGGTGATGGCACATCGGATAAAAACACTGCAAGAGGGGCATATAACGTGCGTCCTTGATATCCATCCTATGCTCGTGAGCCAACTCTAACAATCTTGTAGATTTCCATCCGTCAAAACTTCCGATTGAATGGAACTGATCAGTACACAATTTTCGACCTGCCAATTCAAGTCACCAACTCTATACCTGAGCAAAGTGATAGACCTTCTTGTGATTCTATCAATAATGATTTGATTCCTTGGGCAACATTAAACGCGTCGGCAAATAGTTTTACTCGTATTGCAGGAACGGCCATACAAACTACTGCCTCTTCACAGGATGGAATTGGTGCCGGAAGCTCCATCGATTGGAGAACTGGTGTACATTATATATGGATAGGAAGTCTGGTTATGATGTTTGCGCTATAATTTCTAGAACATCGAGTCAAGGGTTAAGGGGGGTAGATTCTGTACTAATTTCCAATCTAATTTAAGTTTCATAATCCACCGACGCATCCTTAGAGTCCCGTTTCCGTTGCATTAGTTAGTTTGAGAGCTAGCAAGTCCGTGGAAAGCTAGCAACCAGTTAGCCCGCAGCTTCAAGTGTCCTTCGGTTATATTCTCCCATAGTAAAGGTCACTTGGTCTCCCACAAAGTGCTATGTCTAGACAGTTTTATTTTCTCTATGTTGCTAGGTAGGACTTCGGGGCATTCGATTGGAGTCGAAAGAAAAACCGAAGAATTTGCCGATAGTGAAATCCAGGATTAAAGCAAAGAACGAGAAGCTTGCGAAGTGTTATCACATAGGCCCATAATACCTACACATCTCATGGGGAAACCTACGCGCTAGACCCCGCTCCCCGCAATTCAAGACTCAAATCCTTTCCTCGGTTGGCAAACTTTCCCTATTCTGATTGGCCAACATGTGCTTCGATAAATGCTAAGCCGGATATCTGGAATATCATAGTCAAGTCAAAGGTAGTAGCATTCCTGTCAAGATATTCTCTTTTCTCCCCTTTCATCCCATTGAAACTTCATTATCAATTCGTCTCATCGACAAATCCTCATAACTCTCAATAATATTACACAACAGACGGGAAATATGCCAATGCATAACGGATGGCTTCCACGCGAAGGTATAAGCTTAAACTCCCTGTACTCGTAGCACCAAAGCTCACACAACATATAGGTTTCCGAAGCGATTCCCTTGGTAGCCTCATCAAGAAAACGGCATTAAATCCCGCTTTTACATTGGTCTTCCTCATTCTAGCTCGTTACACTAAACGGGGAAATGATCTTTCGATTCTTCATGAAACGGCCTTTTCTCGAATTCGAAAACTCTTCTATTTTGGGATTGTCAGATTAGTGTCGAATTATTTGGAAAGAGGCGTGCAGAATAATTGGGTAGATGATGTATATGATTGGAAGAAAGAAATTGTGTTGATCACCGGTGGTGCGGGAGGGATCGGTGGTCAAGTAGTAAAGCTTTTAGCAGAGAAGGACATCACAGTTGTGGTATTAGATGTGATCCCTATGACTTTCGAGACGAGTATGTCACCCTACCTATATATTGCGGAACCTTCAATTGGGTAATACTAACACCTCTCCAAGCACCAAATGTGCATTACTACAAATGCGATATCACCTCCCCATCCACCATCGCCACAACCGCATCTCGCATCCGCTCCGAAGTCGGTAATCCGACCATCCTCATCAACAACGCGGGCGTCGCGCGCGGAAAAAGCATCCTCGACTCCACCGAGAAAGATATCCGGTTTACCTTCGACGTCAACACGCTCTCGCACTATTTCACTACCAAGGAATTTCTCCCCTCCATGATCGACAAAAATCACGGCATGGTCGTCACAATCGCCAGTCTCGCCGCCTATCTCCCCGTCCCAAACATGACCGACTATGCCTCATCCAAAGCCGCCGCGCTATCTTTCCACGAAGGACTAACCGCTGAACTCCTCACCAAATACAACGCGCCGAAAGTAAGAACGATAGTGATTAACCAGGGGTATACGAAAACGGCACTGTTTCAAGGATATAAAAATGATGCGACGTTTTTGCTTCCGACGCTGGAGGTGGACACGGTGGCGGAGGAAATTGTCAAGAAGATTTTGAAGGGGAAGAGTGGGCAGGGGATTTATCCTGGGTTTGGGGTTAGTCTCACGTGGTTGAGAGCGATGCCGGGGTGGTATCAGAATAGAGTGAGGACAAAGGGACAGGACATTATGACGAATTGGAATGGGAGACAGGTGGTGGATGTGGATGAGTTTTATGAGGAGAAGGAAAAGGATGGGAAGGGGAAGGAGAAGGAGAAGGGAAAGCGGCTTGAGGAGGAAAGCGGGTAGGTTTTCCTTCCTTCATTTGTCCCCCGGGTGGAATTGATGGGCTAATTGATTTAGATCGACGGTGTTGGTTAATCCTTGAGTTTTGACGAATGAGAATTTGGCTTGTGGTGTTGTTGATATATCAATGCTATTGAGTCGGATTTATGTTTAAAGTCGTGGAATTTGAATCAGGTTTTTGAGTACACTTCTAATGGAGCGATGGAAGTATCACTCTAGCTATTGACGATCAGCATTATGAATCGCAGAGCAAATATTTAGGCCGTTCAAGTCTATCTAGGCATACAGAATAACATTTTTCAATACTCTCCTCGACATCACAATCCCCTTAACTCTTAATCATGAACACTTCTTAAATATGAACGAGTAAGGCAGCATTGTATATTTGGTCAACAGGACAAAAGATTGATATTACAAATAGCTTTACTAAACATTTTTTGAAAGAAAAAAGCAAAGAATACCACTCAAAGACGCAATCACAAGAATATCGTTAAACACAGAACAGGTAATCATGAACATTGTAAATTTTAATTTATACGTTTGAACCCTACTCAATCACTCATCATAACAACTCTCAAGTTGCACGCCCATATGGTACCCAAACAAATCCCAATCATCAATCAGACTGGGCCTTGAAGCTTTCGTATAACGCCCAGGATATCAACTCTCAAACGCCGGATTCATAAACTAAGAGTTGTGCCTACGACAAAGATAACCTTGACGCCAATCGCTGGACCAGCGTTTCCTTTTTCCTTAAATGCAATAATGTACTCATACAACAACATATTTTCTTTCTTAGGCAGAAACAGAGACCATTCTGGATGCTTCCAACAAAGGTGCAGTAGCTGAGGGACCGGGGGCATTCTCCTCAGCAATTTCACCACCAGCTTCTCTTTCAGCCCAAGCACCCCAAAGACCTCGTTTGCCTCTAACACGGATTGGCCCCCCTAGAGAGTTTTCTGGTTGCTCAACCTTAACGGCATCCTTGGTTGCGAGTACCAAAACTTCAAAGAACATCTTGGTAGCATCGGCTTTGCTTGTTGTACCTTCTGGTAATAAGTCCTGGAAAAGTACGCTGGCCTTCTTGCGCTTGTCTGGGCTGTTGGCTGCCTCATCGCCAAATCGTTCACGGAGAAGATGAACAGCGTGAGTGGTACCGAGCGATACGGGGCCGCTATCCGCAGGGTGTACAAGAGGTGCGGTTGTCTCGTCGAATTGGTTGCCTGGACTTACGCTGCGAGCGTCTCTTAAGCCGGCAGTAGCGTTGTGTTCGTCATCGTCAATGTTGATATTGAATTCATCATCACCCCCCATTTCAATGATTGTACCATCAGCAGCAATCATCGTGTCGTCCCGACCTAAACCAGCATCACCAGCAAGATTGGCACCAAGATCCTCTTCCTCTCCAAGATCCAAACGTGGTGATTTGTTGGCACCTGGTTCTTGCTCACCATCCACATCAGCAACACCACCATCACGCTTACGCTTCAAGTCTCCTGTCCTACGAACAGCATCGAGTGAAAGCATCCCACGAAGCTCTGGTGCCCAACCCATACTTCTTCCTTCACCCATAATATTAGAAACAAATCCACCATTCTTTTGCATTTCCATTAATGCCAAAAGTTGAGGATCACGGGGAAGGAATGACTGAGGACGTAAAATAGCCTCGTGATTCTTCTGCAATTCTTGAATAGCATGCTTAGAAATGGTAGTATCATCATCAGGCATCAAAGGTTTGAATTTTCTAGCACGTTGAGCCGGTTGGCGGAAGATTGATTGTTCTGTCTCATCTTCTGGTGCGAATAATCCAGATCCTTCTCTTTGTTGCTGATTTGCTTCGACTTCGGCAACAATAGTTTCGTCGATATCGGAAAGTGGCGATTCGGAAATGCGAAGACGCTCAAGTTCTGGAGCACGTGGAAGAGCAGAGATATCTGGTTCTCCACCAATGTTAAGCATGTCGATGTCCCCATCATCATCACCGATGTGGAATCCAACATCATCATTACCAAATCCGAGGTTGATTGAATTTTCACGATCTCCATCATCAAAGACATCCTTTGCTCGTGGTTGGATATCCAATTCGCTGAGTAAGTCATCTTCAACAGCTCTTGCTGCTGGTGCATCTCGTCCGAATTCGAGACTGATATCAGCTCCAGATCTATCAGCTCCAGTCGCCTTAGGGTTTATATCGTCGAGTCCAAAATCAAGACCCAAATCAAGATCATCGTCTAATGGTTCTAAAGCAAGCTCATCCTCATCTGCGTTGTTATCTTCGACACTATTTTGTAAGAATTGACTATTGTTGAACTCGTCCTGCAAGTTTATATCACGGCTAGCACCTCTTCGTTTGCGACCCAATGTCGATTCTTCGTCCAATTGGGAAAAAAGGAATGATGCATCAGGCATCGGTGGCATTTCGAGGTTATCCCCTTCAGTAAGCATATCGGGAAGCATGAGAGCATCTCGAGAAGGCATATGTAGTCCGGCGGGAATATCATTGTTACCGGAGAGACGGAAGGCCTAGGTTGGAATGGTTAGTATTTACATTGAAGCTATTGGAATATTAAAACGTACCATTTTAATTTTTATGAGAGCTTCATTACAATCATCCAGTAAATAACGCGCTTTTCGACTATAAATTCTGACTACTCCTAGCAAAAGTTGACCACTTAGACGTAAAGCCATTGGTGCTTGATTAGGTGTGACGATAGCTTCAACACTATCCTTGACGCTGGCTTGTAGAATATGATTTTTTGACAACTTGCGCTCTAAATTTGCCGAAAGCCAGACACGAGCCAAAGGCCCTGTCTTGCTCAACAAAGTCTCTGAATAAAACATGGTGATAGCAAGAAATGTATAGCGCCCTCGCGCGAGGAAGTGTAAGTTTTGTTATGTGGATTCAATAATGAAAACGCGTGTATATTGCCTATTGTTGGCCGTCGACTCTTTCGTTCGTTTGATGGCGCGTCGAGGATATTGATTTTGACAGCTCTCGATGAATATGTGATGTGAATTAAGCGCGTCGCGGCATTAAATTGTAGCAAGAAGCCACAGGTATCGAAAGAACAATAT